ACACACACACACACACTCTCTCTCTCTCTCTCTCTCTCTCTCTCTTTCTCTCCCTTGCTTTGCCCTTTTCTCTTCCCTCCATCTCTCTCTCTCTCCCTCTTTCCACTCACACATAGATACCTTTGGAGGTCTTTCAGACACTTTAATTTTTTTCAAGTTGTGATTTTTCTCCTGTGTCGTTTAACGTCTTTTGATTTGCTTTATAATTTCTATGGATGTAGAATATAACTACGTTGTACCTAATCCATCAAGTCGATTCATATACGCAGGTAACTGCACTCACCTCTTTTTTTCAAATCACAAAAGGGTCATAAACACTTGAGCGATCCATTACCATACTAAGCATTTTATACCCAAGGTGAGAGCTTTGAAATTCAGTACAGTAAATCTTCTATGCATTCATGTGTCTAAAAGAGACAGCTGAAGAATCTAGCTGCGTGACGTAGTTGTAACCAAATGGCAAACTTCCATTTATTGTTCAGCCCTCAGTCACAATCCAAAAGATGTTTAATTTCCCGAAACAGTAGTCTGAAATTCTCTTAGAACATATTTTGATTATTACTGCTTCGAAACATACTAGTCTGACGAGATAAATAAGCTGATTTACTGTTGGAATATTCAAAATACAAATATAACATAACCCATGATTGTCTTGAAATGAGTTTCTGTTTACAGCTCTGATAGAAAAAAATCCCTGTCACGTCATTGATACAGTTTCGTAAAAAGCAAGTGTCTTCTTTAAGATAAAATGCCATGGAAAGTTTCGATTTATTTCTTAAATACCTCAATCATTGCACAATAAGAAGCTTCTGTAGGATGAATTAAGAGCGTTACAAATTGAAAACCTTTGATACGAAGACAACGGAAGCCTTAAAAATAGCCGTGCTATCACAACGCCAATCTTATTGAGCACTTAAATTAATGCAGATGCATGGTCGAGTGAAAAAAGCTTGTGAAAGCATTTCTTTTTTCAAACAGGCAGTTTGCCCCCTACGCAAACAGATAACACTTCAACGTTAATCTTCTCACTTTTAGGAACGACCTCGACCGACCGCCTACGTCTCTATAATAAAACGGAAAAAGAGGGTCACTTTTTGAGGACGGAGAGGGAAAGAAAGTATGGGTAGGAAAAGGAGGGAGAGAGAAAGAGAGAGAAGGGGAGAGAGAGAAAGTAAGAGAGAGAGAGAGAGAGAGAGAGAGAGAGAGAGAGAGAGAGAGAGAGAGAGAA